TCTCCTCCTCCCTCCCCCCCTCCTCCTCCTTTCTCCTCCTTCTCCTCCTTGTGTGGGAGTGTGGGGCTTATAATTGTTTTGAGTCAGAAGTCGGCAGCTGTCAAAGTGACATATTGTCTCATTAGTCACTGCCCCTACTCCCTGTCAAAACAATGGGGTCAGATGCTGCTTCCCCTCCTCCATTTTATCTAATTATCTTTCTCCCTCATTCTATATCTTTCAATCTGTCTCTCTTTCTATCTGTCTGCCTATTCTGTCTCACAGTACACATAAATACAAGTATACATAGTGTAAATTACCTAGGATAACCCAAGAAATCCAGACAAAGTGCTATACCCTGCTGAAGATGTGAGTAAACGTGATGACACAGTCTTGTGGCTCTCTCTGAGACAGAGAGCTAGATGGACAGACAGGGAGCTTGACAGACAGACAAATAGACAGACAGAAATGTTTGTGACCAGCAAAAACAAAGGGAGGCGATGGTCATGTAATATTACCCTCCTTTACCCTCATCAAAGTCAGCTCTTATCAATGTTATCCCCCCTTATCTTGTCACTGTCATGGGGTGGACTTTTTTTTTTTCTTGCTTCAAGGGAACAATATATTACATCTTCTTCTTCCTCCTCCTCCTCCTCTTCTTCTCCTCCTCCTCCTCCTCCTCCTCCTCCTCCTCCTCCTCCTCCTCCTCTTCCTTCCCCCCCCTCCTCCTCCTCCTCCTCCTCTTCCTCCCCTCCTCCCCCTCCTCCTCCCTCCATTGCTTTTGGTCTAAAAAAACTCCTCCAAACATGAAATTGATCTTCACTGACACTTCCATCTGTGTTAGAGCATCACTTGGGAAGAGGAGTCCCAGATTTGCGGGGGAATCACATATTTTACCACTAGACATGCTGAAAAATGACAACTGAAATGGCATTCCCACAATGCACCACTGGCTCCCCGATTTTTTTTATATGGTGCACACTGACCATGGAGACCCATTCTCTCACATGTGGGCCTAGCAGCTTTCTCCTGCTTGATTTGAAGCTGCTAGAATTTATGCGTATAAATACGTCAGAAACATTGGCTCGTAAGACGTATTTATACGTCGGAAACAGTCAAAGGGTTAAGCATGAGTTGTAGATGTTGCAGTGAGGAAACTGGAGTCAGTGGAGATGTGTAAATGTGCCTAGAGTTTGTAGCTTGGAGATTGGGAGGAGGTGCAGTGTTACTGTAGGTATTATTGTGAGGGCTGAGAAGGGGTTGTTGAGGTGGTTTAGACATTTAGAGAGGATGGAGCAAAATAGGATGACTTGTAGGGTGTACAGATTTGTAGTAGAGAAAAGGCAGGGTAAGGGTAGCCTAGGACAAGTGTAGAAGTCTTCAAGAGGACACTGTAAAGTACAGTGGACCCCCGCATAACGATTACCTCCGAATGCGACCAATTGTGTAAGTGTATTTATGTAAGTGCGTTTGTACGTGTATGTTTGGGGGTCTGAAATGGACTAATCTACTTCACAATATTTCTTATGGGAACAAATTCGGTCAGTACTGGCACCTGAACATACTTCTGGAGTGAAAAAATATCGTTAACCGGGGGTCCACTGTATCTTCACCAGGTGCCAGATCAACCAGGCTGCAATGGATATGTGGGTCAACGGGCCACCAATAGCAACTGCCTGGTTAACCAGGCAAGCCCCAGATGAACCTAGCTCAAGCGGGGCTTGGGTAGAAAAACTCATGCTCATCAAGACCAATAAATGGGGATGGATTTGGAAACCCAGCGGGCGTGTGTGAGCGGTTAATGGAATGAGTGGGGGAAAAAGATTATTGGGGACTTGAAAAAGCTGTTGGGTTTGTGAGCGGGGTAACATTTTGTGATGGATTCGGGGAAACAGTTGCTGGTTTAGTCCTGGAGGTGGGGAGTCAGTGTTGAAATTTGGGAGGGGGTGGGGGAAATATTTGCAGTTTGGAGGGGCATCTGATCTAAGTATTGTTTTGGCCTTGGCAAGGGTTAGAGTGAATGAAGTGAGTATTTTTTTTTTTTGGGTCCCCCTCCCTAATGGGAAACTGTCTGTGTGTTAAATTTTTTTATAGAAAACACGTACAAGTTTGTAATTGTCTCCAAGGGGGAACTTATAAGTTTGTTCAAAATTATACTAATGAACCAAAGTGTAAAGTTTGGGAATTTGCATAAGCTGTGTGACTAGTTTGGTCCCCACTTTTGGGTTTTCAGGTTGGGCCCATTGGTAATGACCCCAAACAATTATCGGGTAGTTAGGGCAAGCAGTAAAATGTTTTAAAGGAAAAAATTTTACTTTTTTTAATTTCTACCTTTATCTCGGTTATGTTGAATAAAAGCAGCAGCAGTATTCATTGGCTAGTTAATTTTTAACTCCGGGCGATTTAGTACATGGAACCCGGTTGTCAAATTGCATTACTTTTTTCGAACAAAAGTTTTTTTGAATGAGGAATTCAAGAAAAATGTCCTGTTTTCGAAATTCTCTTGGTTGTCGACAGCAGCACCTGTTGTTAATGCAAATATTTAATTAGCCAACCACGTGGCAGCCCTCTTTTGCCAAAAATTATGCGACAGGGGGCAAATGGCTGGGGTTACGGCTCAAAATGTGCACTGGACATGAGTCGACAGCATTCAGTCTTATAACTATGAAGTTCTTGCCTCAAAAATCACTCTCACAGCCCCGGACCCGCCCATTTTTGACTTCAAGAAACACTGACCAAAGCACTTTTTGAAAAGGGACTGTGAAATCCTTCAAAAAAAAAAGTTAACCCCCGGGGAGCCTGGAAAACCATTTCAGTATCCTCACCCGCTTGGTTTATAGCAAAACCTTGGGGGAAAGATCTTCCAGGACCATGCAATCCATGGAAAAATTGTGGCCGTTTTTTTTTTAGCCCGGGGGTTTTGAAGGGTTTGAAGATGAGCCTGACCAGTAGAAGAAAGTGTGTTCTTTGGGGACCCTTGGGGCAGAGGTACTAAAGATTATGTGGAAAAAATTGTGGGGGAGCATAGAAAAGAATCACCACAGAAAATTTTAAAAACCTTCAGAAGGACAACAACAGATTGCAGCAGAGGGCCCTCATGGAAAAGGAAGGGAGAATGCCCAAGCCTTGTCAAGGAAAAAGTGTACTAAAAGGGGTGAAGGGAGGGGTTTGCTGAAAATACCCCTGACAAAACCGGCCATCCATCTCATGTATAAGTATATGACATGTAAGTCTCAGTTAAAATAAGTGTTTAAAATTGAGCCGGAACATACTCACTGGGCGGTTTTTATGAGACAAAGAACCAGAAGCCAAACAAGGTTTAGTGGTGAAAAACGACAAAGAAGAGAACTCAAAGGACAGTTGTTTGACGTTTAATTGAAAAGACTCTCCTTCCCAAGCAGTAACAAACCCCCCTCCTCTCCTCCACCCCCTTCTTCTATATTCTATTAGCTCCCTCTGAAGGTAAAGGCGTTAATTTTTTATTTTTGTAATTTTAGTTAGTTTCTTTTTGGTTATTTTTACAGTTTTGTGTAGAAAATTAGTACTTTTTTTAATAAATTATTATATTGTCATTTATGGGAAATGTTGGTCTAGTTGTCGTCTATTCTGGTTGTCAAATTGACGTCTGGAATGAATTAAATTTGACACTGAGGTTCTGCTGTACATACAAAGCTGAATTAGCCAGAGTCAGGTCCTCATGCATATCATACAATTATTTTTTATTCTTGAATTGGGCTGTATTATTTGTGTGGCATTTAATTAATTCTTTATTTTTTTCCACAGAATCCTGGTGTAGGTGGTATTGGGCAGCCCAGCCTATCAGGAACATATAATTTTGGCGGCCCAGGTGTTGGCCAAGGTATGGATGGTAATGTGGGTCAAGCCAATGCTGGAATGGGACCTGGTCAACGACCTATGGGAATGGGGATGCCACCTCGTTATCCCAACCAAGAAATGATGGGTATAATTGGGTCTATACCTCGTGGCCCACAACCTGGTCCAGGTCCGACGGGTCCTGGAGCTCAGGGAGTTCCTGGTGGTCCTCCTGTAGGGCCTCCAGGTCCGATGCCTGGTGCCCCAGGTGCTCCAGGACAGATGGTTCCTGGACAGCCAAGACCAAACCCAGCTGACCCTGAAAAGAGAAAATTAATACAACAGCAGCTAGTACTCCTCCTCCATGCCCACAAGTGCCAGCGACGTGAAAGTCAGGCAAATGGAGAGGTGAGGCAGGTGAGTAGATAACGTAGGGACTGTTGTCTCTGGGTTTTATTCTGCTCCTTCATATGTGTGTGTGTGCGCCATAGGTATGTTGTATGTATGAGAGAGAAAATGAGGATATGAATTAATAAATGAATGAATGAATCTGAAGTTCGCAATATTGTGAAAGTATGGATTTTAAACGGAATCCTCCAGCATTACACCTAGGTCTTAGTGTCTATGTGTGGGTTGGTAGGTGGGTCCCTGCATGCCACTTTCCCAATTGTACTAGCCTATTTGTAGTTGCAGGGTTCAAGTCTCAGATCCTGGTACCACCTCTTAACTAACTTGCCACTCTCCAGATTCATTCCCTCTTCACCACATGGGTCCTGTTGTACCTGCTTTTTAAACTGTAAGGAGACTATATGTGCATGTGCTTTCATGCATGTGATGGCAGTGGCATTGCATGTGCACTCATGCTTGTTTAAGGGTGTGTGTGTGTGTGTGTGTGTACATACTCATTGAGTTTTTTATGTGGGTGTCAAGACACTGCTGCTGGTGCTGCCTCCTAGACTACTTTGATTGACATCATTGATTTCTGACCTCTTGTGCTTTTGTCTACTGAAGCTGTGAAGTAAGTTTGCCTCCATCACTGCCTCATTCATATGGTTTCAATTTTCAAGCACTCGGAGATGCCTCTTTGTATCCCTGTTACCTTACCTTGCGTCACTTTCAAAAATCAACACCCGCACAGCCTGGTTCCAGACCAGACCTCCCAGTTGATGGCCTGAATATGTGAAGAATGCATTCAGGGGTTAACATCCTTGCAGTCTGACTCAGACCAGGCATTTCAATGGATCATGGCCTGAATAATCTGGCTGTTACTGTTGGCTATATGAACCATAGCATGGTTAATCAGGAAATGATTGAAGGAAGACAGCCAGAGGTTTGTTGGTAATTCTTATTATGCATAGAGTGATGGTCTGATTAACCAGGCTATTGGTACCAGGTACACACAATCCAACATATGCACTACAGCCAAGCTAATCAGCAACTGACTAGAAAAACCTATAAAGTTTCCTCTTGAAGACAGCCAGAAGTAGAAGTTTTTGGCGATTTTCCCCTTATGCATGGAAATTGAGTGTTGAAACGTCTAAGTACCCTCACACTATGGCTCATCTGTGCCTTCATTTTCCAACAGCTTTCCTTGATCCTGAACATCTTAATTCAAACAGTCTGTCCCAGTCTTCCTGAATAATTCCTCATAAGAATTTGTAGCTGTGTTGTTATCATGTCTTCCCACCTCCTCCTCTCTGCCAAGGTTGATAGGTTCAGTTCCTTCAACTTCTCATAAATTCTGGTTGTGAACCTTTGGACTTTTTTTTTTTTAGGCTTCGCATGCTTGACCAGGCCTGGGTTCCATGTCAGGGCCACCTATTCACTGGTTAGCCTTACATAATGTTGTACCTTGCATCAGTTCTAGAGGTTGCTGCCCTTGTGGAGTGGTAGACTTGGCCTCCTGGTTGCTGACTTGATTGACCAGGATGTTGGTGCTACCTGATAGCAGTCCAGAATATGCATCACAGCCTGACTGATCAGGACTTACTTGAGGAACTTACCAAGTTCCCACTTGAAGACAGCCAGAAATTGGTAATTTTCCATATGCAGAGAGGAGGGTCACTAGAAAGTTGAGATCCCCTTAGATTTATCATATTCTCTCAAAGTGTTCTTATTGTACCTCTGTTTTTCATTGGAGGTATTTTGCACCATCTGCCAGGTATCATGCTTTCAAATGGAGTGATTGCAGTTAGCAGGCTCGGGGCCAGTCCCTCCAGGATTTTTCTGAGGTAAATTATGATGTGCATTTCTCGCCTATATTCCAAGGAGTGCAGTTGGAGAGATTTCAAGTGTTCCCAGTAGTTAAGACGTTTTGACTGAATTTAAGTGGGCAGTGGAGGTTCTCTGTTCTTCAAGGCACAGTACTTGCCCCACTTCTATTTCTCATTCTTACATCTGACATATGCAAGGATATAATTCAGTGAGAGGTATCATATTTTGGTGACATTAGAATTTCTGTGTCCATCGAGGACACAGCGAGCCTTCAGACTGATGTGATACAAGTCTTCCAGTTGGCCACATGATATTCATTGTGAACTAATTTAAGTTTCTCTACTATGGAAGAACTAAGGAAATAGACAAGTGGAGTATAGGACTTCACACCAGTAGAGTGGAAGTTAATTGTAAAGACTTAAGAATGACATTGTCAGAGTATGTTGCATTCAAGGATCAAAGCAGTGTTGCAATCAGTACCACAAGGAAAATGATAGACTTGTTAACTAGAGCATTGAAAACAAGAGATGCTTAGGCATTGAGGATACTCTTCAGGTCACTCGTTCTCATTGGACTGGAATATTGTATACATTACTAATGAACCCTTGAATGCAGCTGAGGGAGTGGTGGAGGCAGACTCAATATACAGCTCTTCAAAATTTTATATGATTAGCCCCAGCAGGCCAGAAATTAGTGTTGACAGTCGAAGTGATCCATGAGGCAGGACCAGGAGCTGAGTCTCGATTTCTGCTAACACAAATTGGTAAATATGTGTACATGTTAGCAGATGTAAAAGAGTATGCTCACAGTTTTATGTATTTATGTAACAATATTTGATATCAGTATAAAAATTTTAGTTTGTGTCCAGGTGTAAACTTAGAATTATACTTTCATTTTCTCTGTTGATTTGTTTGTCATTTATTTTGATGTTTAATTGGTTGGACATTTTATTATCAAACAGCATGTAGTAAATCTTTCCTGAATTAAGTATAAGTTTGTTGGCTGTCATACATATTTGTATATGTTTTAATTTTTGATGTTTATTATTTTATTTAAGGCAAAACTAGTGTCAACAACACAGAGTATTGGTTTGAGTTGGATGTTTGGTAGGTCATTGCAGGGTGTCAAGTTTTGGATTCTCTTTTTCTCACTCTCTCATTCTCGCTCTCACTCATTCTTACATGCACATGCATGCACACACGCATGCACATGCATGCACACACATGCACACACACATGCACACACACATGCGCGCACACACATGCACATACACATGCACACACACATGCACATACACATGCACACACACATGCACATGTACACATGCATGCACACATCGTGCGATCAGTGAAGAGGCAGGGCCAGGAGCTGTGTCTTGACCCCTGCAACCACAATTAGGTGAGTACATGCACATACACACACACAGGCAAATCCTGTGTCACAAACCTTCTGGAGTTTTATGACAAGGTAACAGAAGTAAGAAATGAGAAAGAGGGGTGGGTTGATTGCATTTTCCTGGACTGCAGGAAGGCCTTTGACACAGTTCCTCACAGGAGATTAGTGCAGAAGCTGGAGGATCAGACACGTATAACAGGAAGGGCACTGCGATGGATCAGAGAATACCTGACAGGGAGGCAACAACGGGTCATAGTACATGATGAATTATCACAGTGGGCTCCTGTGATGAGCGGGGTACCACAGGGGGCAGTCCTAGGACCAGTGCTATTTTTGATATATGTGAATGACATGGTGGAAGGGATAGACTCTGAAGTGTCCCTGTTCGCAGATGATGTGAAGCTAATGAGAAGGATTAAATCGGATGAGGATCAGGCAGGACTACAAAGAGACCTGGATAGGCTGGACACGTGGTCCAGCAACTGCCTTCTCGATTTCAACCCTGCCAAATGCAAAGTCATGAAGATTGGGGAAGGGCAAAGAAGACCGCAGACAGAGTATAGGCTAGGTGAACAAAGTCTGCAAACCTCACTCAAGGAGAAAGATCTTGGGGTGACCATAACACCAAGCACATCTCCGGAGGCACACATCAACCAGATAACTGCTGCAGCATATGGGTGCCTGGCAAACCCAAGAATAGCGTTCCGATACCTAAGTAAGGAATCGTTGAAAACACTGTACACTGTGTACGTCAGGCCCATGCTGGAATATTCAGCACCAGTTTGGAACCCACACCTGGTCAAGCACGTCAAGAAATTAGAGAAAGTACAAAGGTTTGCAACAAGGCTAGTTCCGGAGCTCAGGGGAATGTCCTACCAAGAAAGGTTGAAGGAAGTCGGACTGACGACACTGGAGGACAGGAGGGCCAGGGGAGACATGATAACAACATACAAAATAATGTGTGGAATAGACAAGGTGGACAGAGACAGGATGTTCCAGAGAGGGAACACAGAAACGAGGTCACAATTGGAAGCTGAAGACTCAGATGAGTCACAGGGATGTTAGGAAGTACTTCTTCAGCCACAGAGTTGTCAGGAAGTGGAATAGCCTAGCAAGTGATGTAGTGGAGGCAGGAACCATAAATAGCTTAAGACAGTAATGACAAAGCCAAGAGCAGAGAAGGGGAGAGAGAGAGTGAGAGTGGAGAGTGTTAGATGTGTGTAAATGTGTGTGAGTGTGTGTGAGAGGTTGTGTGTGGAGTGTGTGAGAGTGGTTGTGAGAGTGTGTTTTGAAGAGTGTGTGTGAGAGGGTGTTGAGAGAGTGTTGAGAGAGTGTGTGAGGGTGTGAAAAGTGTGTGTGAGTGTGTGTGAGTGTGTGTGTGAGAGGTGTGTGAGAGTGTGTGTGAGAGTGTGGGGTGAGATGTGTGTGAAGGTGTGTGAGAGTGTGGTGAGAGAGTGTGTGAGAGAGTGTGTGAGAGTGTGGAGAGAGAGAGAAGTGTGAGAGAGGGTGGGGAGAGAGAGAGATGGTGAGAGGAGAGAGTGTGAGAGAAGAGAGAGAGTGTGGAGAGAGAGAGAGTGTGAGAGAGAGAGGGAAAAGAGAGAGTGTGAGAGAGAGAGTGTGAGAGAGAGAGAGAGAGAGAAAAGGGGAGAGAGAGGAGAGAGAGAGGGGGAGAGGTGAGAGAGAGTGTGAAGAGAGAGAGTGAGGGGAGAGAGTGAAAAGAGAGTAGAGTGGAGAGAGAGAAGAGTGTGGAGAGAGAGAGAGAGAGGGGAGAGAGAGAGGAGTGTGAGAGAGAGAGAGGAAAAGGAGAG